TTTTTTAATACGTGAAAAAAAGTATGAGCTGAAGAGTATGGACAAATATTAGGTAAATGCTAAGGTCCCGTTATGGAATTATTCCGTCGGAATTTGTAATTGTTAGATCATCATGTAACCATTAGAGATAGTTGATCTAACAGTTACAAACCACGGCATAATAATTCCGTAACAGGGACCCGTAACATCTTCCCAAATATTAATAACACTTGTAAAATATATGTGCTAGCTCGTTGAGAATGTTCTGAAAATAACATGAAACACATATCTATTGTGAGTTGTGACAACTTAAATGTGACGCATATCTATAGTGATGACAGATTAATTTAGAATTTGATTTTGTTAATTTGTCTTTTACCCTTGGATGAAATTTACACTCATGCATATGTCTACTTCATTGAGATTGTTTTTTTTTTTTTTTTTTAAAAAAAAAAAAGACAAGCAAGGTTCAACTTTATATTATTGCTTACTATTATTTTTCCATCCACTATGATACCCTATTAAATTGTGATGATTATAACTATGGCTATGTTTGGTAAACCAAATAAGCTAGCTTATAGTTTATTTGGTTAGCTTATAAGCTTCCTGTATTCAAATAAGCCCCGTTTGGTAGAACGAGGTTATTTAAAAAGCTCGAGCTTATTTAATAAGCTTGTTTAGGTAGCTTTTCAAATAAGCTAGTTAAATTTTTTATTCCAGCTAGCTTATCAGCTAATTTTACCAAATACTTTTATCATATAAGCTAGCTTTTCAGCTATAAGGCTATGTTTGGTAAATCAAATAAGCTAGCTTATAGCTTATTTGGTTAGCTTATAAGCTAGTTTTTCAGCTATAAGTCATAAGCTTTAAGTTATAAACTCAAAAATTACATATAAGCTATAAGCTAGTTTATCAGCTATCAGCTAGCTTATCAGCTAGTTTTACCAAACATAGCCTAAGTCATAAGTTATAAGCTATAAGCTCGAAAATACATATAAACTATAAGCTAACTTATCAGCTATCAGCTAGCTTATCAGCTAGTTTTACCAAACATAGCCTAAATGAAATGAAATGCAAAGCTAAATAATGGAGAATAATTCTAATTTGGGCTGTAAAAGGAGTGGGCCATATATCGTGAGTTTTCAGGGCCCACTTAGCTTGCCCCACACATGGTATTTGATCAGACGAAGCCCATACCCAAAATCATTTCGCGGAAGATAAATTTCAAAAAGTTGACATTGAAAATTGACCTAAAAGTCGTGAAGATGCTGTAATCGAGAAATTATGTCCCCAAATGCATCTGACAAAACAACTCTATTATTCAACTTGTGAATTTAAAAAATATTATGATTGGGTCATTCCAAGGATAAGCGAAAATACTCAATTTTGACCTTACTATCATTATAATATTTTCTTCGTTTATGCTACTATGTTTTAAGCGGCTTAATCATAAGATAGGAAACCGGAAATGTTACAGCCCTGTTAAGGAAATAATTTTGTCGGGATTCGTAAACATTAGATCATCATGTCACCGTCGTTGATAGTTGATCTAACGGTTACAAACCACGACGGAATGATTCCGTAAACGGACCATAGTATCTCTCTATAGGATATATAGATTTATTATAATTTCATTTTTTTTTTCATATAAAGGTACTTTACTATAAACCTATTATTCTATTTATTATTGTAAGATTGAGCTTTTGATTTAAAATACATTAATTTGTTAAAATAATATGCTCTAGACTAACTAGCATCCCGTTGTGTTACATAAGTTATCTATAATTCTATCATTCTCGAATTTACCCCAAAAATCTCTAATTATAAAAATAAAAGTAACGCTTAACAATTAAACAAGCATTTATAAAAATATATACGTATTTGAATGTCATATTTCAAAAAAAAAAAAAAAAAAATATTTAAATTAAAATGTGAGATTTTATAATATAAGTATGTACTTTTATAATATATATATATATTATATATACTATATATATATTATATACTATATATATATATTATATATGTATATATATATTATATATACTATATAATATATATATATATATACTATAATATATACTATAATATATATATATATATACTATAATATATATACTATAATATATATACTATAGTATATTATATATACTATAATATATATATATATTATATATACTATATATATATATTATATATGTATATATATATGATGAATTACATGAAATTTGTGTGGGAAAAAAAAATACAGCCAAACAAAAATATGTCAAATCTTAAACTCAGTAAAAGTTGAATCTAAGACCGATCCAACATGCATGTTTATTTTTTACACATTCTATTGAGCCATCGTATGACTTCTTTATAGAGTCATCTATAATTTTACGTGCTAGCTATTATATGTAGTTATTGGATGACTCTCTTATGGAGCCATCTATAATTTTACATGCTGACACATGTTTAACGTGCCTTTATTGCAGACACGTGTCAGTACATCGTTTATGAATAATTATGAATGACTCCACAAGCCGAGCCATCCGATAACTCCATAACAAACTGTCCCTTTTTATTCCTAATTTTTGCTAAAATTCACTCACACTCGCAAAGGAACAATTTCCAACATACACAAACATCTATATATATAGATAAAAATGTTTGATATTTACATGTAATAGTAACTAAAATCCCGCCAAAATTATCCGTTTTTACTTTTATTAGTAATTTTTTTGAAAATATTTTATAATTGGCGGGATGTTTTTGAAATTCGAATTAAAAAAAAAAAAAGAATATTTACAAAATAGATTTGGTAAAAGTTGCCGCTGATTATATTTTCCTTTCAATAGAATCTAATATCGTTGGTACATACAAATTAAAAACGATAATAAAATCTTTACATGAAATATTCTATCAAAATTTACGGCTTACTATATATTAGTTTCGTGGATGTTGAAGTAAAATATTATATAATATCTTACTTGAAACAAAAATCTTTTGAAATATAGGTGCAGATATTTCTTTTGGATTTATTTACAAAATTCTTTTTTATTTTCAAAAAATTCACAATTATTTATGAAAATTTAAGTACATACACGTGATTTTTTATTTTTGAAAAAAAAAAATCCAATTCCAATTTCATTTTTTTTTGGTAAAACCACGTAATACATTAGAAAAATAAAAAAAATGAATATACATCATGTTTATCTCTTGAAAACAAATCTTATAATTTTAATATGTGATTTAAGTTTTTTAAATTACGGATTAAAAAAACAAGTCTTATAAAATCATTTAAAAAAAGTGATATTTAATGATCAAGCAAACAAATTTTATACCATTATCAATGTGATAGTCAATTATCTATAGTTTGATAAATTATTCAACTACTTAATTTTTTTATTTGGATAGTTTATAGAAATATAAATTATTTTAATTAATGAAACAATTGGGTTGTATAATTATCATTTATTCACATAGATTTTAAACTGTACGTATTTTATATAAATTTGAACCGTACGGGTTGTATATTAATTTTAAACTGACGTATTTTATGTAATTTTGAACAATTTAAATTTTATATGATATTTTCAATTAATTAATATAAGTAAATTGTATAACACATCGATTTCATACTTTTAATTTATAAATGTTATTTAATGAACATTTTTAACTTATAAATATTAACGAGTACCTTTTACCCATACACAAGTTTTACATAAAATATTGATTCATTAGTTTTAATTTATAAATATTATTTAATGAGTATTTATTATTTATAAAGATTAATGAATAATCTCTTATTCGTACATCGCATGAGATTCGTACTAATTTTTAAAGAGTGAGATATTTGTAATTTATTGCTTCTGCTTTGTGCATTAACTCCGTGTTTAGTATAATATCATCAAGAAATTATGATAAAATATTGCATGCATTGAACTATGCATATAATTGTTTTGTACCCCATATCCTAATTATAAATAGGCCATGGGCATTTAATAAAAAGAAATCAATAATCAATATTTGCTCGTGGATCTTGTTTAATTGGATAGCTCGTTTTGTAATAGTAATAATAATATACGATACAATTTTAGTCAATTACTCAAATAAAAACAATTATATGAGCGATGTATTAACATTTACAATATTTACCCTATGATGAAATTAACAACAAATAAAAATAAAGATACTTTCTTCACTGCAATTGGATTTTATTCCATTCAAGCAAATAAATACGCAATAATATATAAAAATTAGACCCTTATTTAGATATAATCTACGTTAAATTTGAAATATATGAGGTTTTTTATATAAATTTTAAAGTTTTTAGCATAATTCAACTAATTAAAAAGCTAAACACAAACTTATTTATCATATGGTTCAATAATTCAACAATCACCCCCTTAAGCTCGTTAGTATTTTTTTCATTCGATAAGCTAAAAAATAATACTAAATTAAAAAATGATATATACTTTATCAGTTTTGCTATGGAGCCATCGAATGACTCGACTTATGGAGTCATCCACACTTATTCATCAATAATGTATTGACAACACATTAAGTGATAGATGACTCCATAAAATAACCATTTGATGGTTTCATATAACTTTTGTATACTTTATAGCATTGCTATTTCAAGTGTCAACCTCCTCAGTCAAAACCTTTTCCCCTGCAAGGACCCAAAAAGCTCCCCGCATAATTGTATTGTACCTTCCAATCCCCCAGTTGTACATTCCCTCACACACACTCTCACAGTCATCACCACCGCCATAGGATATAGCACCGCCGCCGGAAAAAACCTCTATATTTCGTCCCACCTAAAAGTCCTCTGCAAAACCCCCTGAAAAACCTCGACATTTCTAAATGCAATTACATTGCTGCTAGCATGGGCTGCAGCGGGTCGAAGGCGGATGACCTGCCGCTGGTCGTCCGCTGCCGCGAACGGAGGGATCTCATACGCGCCGCCGCTAACTACCGGTACGCCCTCGCCGCTGCCCACGTCTCCTACTTCCGGTCTCTCAGGGACGTCGGCGACGCCCTCCGGAGGTTCGTGGACGAGGAGCTGGTCGCCGCCGCGTCGTCTTCCCCATCCTCCTCCTCCTCCTCCTTATCCTCGCCGTGTCTGACCCTGCCGAGAGATTCGAAGCTGAAGCACGACAATGCGGGTGAATCTTCCCTGCATTTGCGCGGCGGCGGCGGCGGCGAGGATGAGGATGAGGATGAGTCGCACTTACACCTTCCAGATTCTTCCTCCGATGACGCGGATTTAAACGATTACACGCATCACCATCGTCCCAGCGACCAGAATCCTTCACATCGTAAGCACCAACAGCACGAATCGGAGCAAAATGCTCATCCGCTCCACAAGCATCAAGCTCAACAGCGGAACAAGGGCTCTAAATCTAATCCCGACGCTAGTCCTTTTCACAGCAAGGTCGAAAGCTCGTCTCGTAACCCTGGATCTGGTTTCAATGGCTACGGAGATCGTGAAGCGGAGACCTCGGCCCATTATCCTGCAGCAAATAGTTTCCATGGATACGGAGCTGGATTTGGAGATGGATATGGCAACGGCCCATTTTCAGAACCGTACCCGTTTCAATTTCAACACCCGTCACCCGCCTCGTACACTCCGCCCTATGTGGGCCAGTGGGACCCGCCGGCGGCCCAGCCTCCCTGGTACTATTCGAACAATACAAACATGTACTACATGAGAAAGGGAGGCCCGACAGCCCAGACGGTGGTTCACGACCCTCCTCTCCAGCCAGCCCAGGGATACTCCGACTCGTACTGGAATCCGGCGGCCGGTTATGGGTATTCCGGCTTTGGCGGCAATTATGGGTATAATGCTGTGGGCATGAGAAACGGTGAAGACAGCAGAGACCACCGGCAGAAGGAGGTGCTCCCTCCTCCTTCCCCAAAGGCTTCGGGTTGGGATTTTTTCAACCCGTTTGATAGGATGATGGAAAACGGTTATGGGGACTACTTCTCGGGTGAGAGACACGGGTACAAATCGTGCTCCAGCAGCCCGGACTCAACCGAGGTGAGGGAGAGGGAAGGCATTCCTGATCTGGAGGAGGAGACTGAAAGTGAGGTATATAAAGAGGTTCTGAAGAAAAGCAAAACGAAAGGTAAGGAAAAGAATATTGAGAATAGTTCAAGATTTATGCCACCTCAAAGAAGTGAGGGTAGTTTGAGAAAACAACCATTGCGTAAGTCTGAGGGCGGATTAAATCCCGTGCCGGTGCATAAGAGCGAGAGTAGTTTACGATCCGTGCCCTCGTCGAGTAGCATGGAGAGTGGAACTCATAATCATTCAGTGCCGTTTCAGCATAAGAAGGATAATGTGAAGCCGTCAATGCCCTCCAAGCATAGTGACAAGAATGAGGAAGAGAAACCATTTGTGCCGCCACAATACAACAAGAGCAGTGAAAAGACTCCTATGCCCTTCCGGGACAGTGAGAGGAGTGTGGAACTGTCAATTTCAGTGCCAGAGGATGAGGGCAGGTCGAGTATAGAAATGGAGGGGTCTATCAGTAGTTTGTCGGATGAGGAGAGCAGCAGTGCTGAGAATGTCGAATTGGGAAGTGGGGACGAAAGTTATGTGAAGAGGAAAGCGGTGAGTTTTGAGGTGGATGGTGACTCGTCAAAGATGAGTAGCATGGCAGTGTTTTCGCCTCAAGGGAAGCGGGACTTGCATGAGGTTGTGGCTGAGATTAGGGATGAGTTCGAGATTGCGGCTGGTTACGGGAAGGAAGTGGCCGTGATGCTTGAGGTCGGGAAGGTTCTGTATCAGCCTAGCTTTCTAAAAGGTGAGATTTTTATTTATTTATTTATTTTAATCTCTTGTCTCTTCTATTTTGATGCAGGCTGTATTGCTAGAGTGGTATCATGGACACCTTTTTTTTGTCCCAGAAACTTTACAGTTGTGTGTTGAAGGATGGGTTTGAGTTATTATTATGTGTGGCAATTTATACACTTAGGATCCTGGTGGATAAGGGGTTCAATATAGTAAACTACATGATTAATGAGTGCACTGATGAATGAGTATCTGACATGTTAAACTTTTTGTGTTTGCTAGTCTATGTATGTTGATGTCCATTCACATGTCGGCTTAAATGATGAATGTTAAGGTATTAATTAAGCTATTTTGCATGGGATGACTGCCTTTTCTTCTCCTAAAATGATAGAACTGCATAGTCAAAAAGACAAGTTATTATCAAACAGGGGGTTTGAGATTGACTACTACACATATACAGTGTGTACTGCATGCTCATCTATTTATTTATTTATTTATTTATTTTTTTTCTGGAACTAGATGTTCTTGTTTTTATAATCTGTTGAGGCAGCACTATTTTTTTTGTTGAGGACTAACGCGTCTTTTAACAGTAATCCGCTCCCGGATATTGTATCCACTGTCTCCATCTCTGTCATCACGTGATCCTCCATCATTGCAATCTGCAAGATTAGCTTCCAAGACAATGAAGTTGGCAAAATCTTACTTTGATGACGTTGGGAAGGATGTTGATGCAAAGGCTTGTAACCTCTCGTCCACTCTCGACAAGCTGTATGCTTGGGAGAACAAGTTATACAAGGAAGTAAAGGTAAACTGAGTCAGTTTTCCGTTTTCTTGATAGGCAGTTGCAATATATTATGTTCTTTGTTCGTTCGGTCATGTTAAACCCAGAAATTCTTGATAATTAATTTTGAAAGGGTTCGTGTTAAATTGGTGTTTTGTACATTTTGTGCACATTATAAGCAGTTGTGTTGCGAACTGCTT